CACACACACACACACACACACACACACAAAGATTAATCAATAAATAAATGGTGGTATACACAAACCAGTACTTGGGAAGCTGAGAAGGATGGCAAGTTTAAGCCAGCTTTGGATATATTAACAAGTTCAAGGCCCGGACTATAGATAGCAAGACCTAGTCTAAAAAGAAAAGAAAAGGAAAAAAAAGAAAAACAACTTTGCTGTAATTCCAAACTAGTCATCCAGAAATATCTTCCCAAAAATAAAGCCTCCTTCCTAAAACTCCCAAATCTTCGGCTTCCTTCCAGGTTGGCCACACGCTTAACTCCCAGAATGGGTGTAGGTATCTGTCCCTATCATTCATATAGAGTGATGGTTCTAAAGCTAAAATCCAGTCAGGGCAAAAGTACATGCCTGAGGGCCGGGGATTTAGCTCAATGGTTCCGCTGCCTGCCTTGCAAGCACAAGGACCGGAGTTCGATCCCCGGTACCAAAAAAAAAAAAAAGAAGTACATGCCTGTGACCTACTCAGGAGTCTAGGGGTGGGGGGTCAAAAATTTGAGGCCATGGGCCAGGGATTTAGCTCAGTGGCACCGTGCCTGCTTTGCAAGCACAAGGTCCTGAGTTCGATCCCTGGTACCTAAAAAAAAAACAAGTTTGAGGGCAGCTGAGGCAATTTAGCAAGACTTTGTCTCAAAATAAAAAATAAAAAGGAATAGGGATGTAGCTCACCGGTAGGGCACTTGCCCAGCATGTGCAAGGCCCTGGGTTCAATCTCCATTACCACAAAAAATAATCCAAGGATCTCTGTACAGCTACAACGAGGCATAAAATGACAGCAGAACTGTGGCCACCAGTCGAGATGATGCCAGAAAAGCCTGGTTCCCATAGCTTTAGCAACCTCTGTCCTCCACCAGACAAGAACAGCCCACCCTGTGATTCTTCACTCCAACTTCCTCCATCATTTTCTGGCCATGTCTGCAATCATCATCTGCCCAATTAGTAAAGCCAGGCTAGCTACAACAGATCATACAGCAGCCTCATGCCACAGGAAAACTGGAGATTGCTTTGGCCAGTTTTGTTTTATTTTGTTTTGTGAGACAGGGTTCCACCTACATACTCTAGGATGGCCTTGAATTCACAATGTACCCTTGGCTGGCCTTGAACTCCTGGGGAACCTCATGAGCAATGGATTCTAAGTGAGCACCACCATACCCAACAACTTTTGCCTTTTAGAAAATTGACTATTTGTCAGCTCAGATACTCCTGTGGCTCAAGGCAGAGTAGGGAATCAATGAGGGATGGGCTGCAGGTTAGGCTTGTGGGGGCCTTCATGTCAGGCTGGGACTGAGGGATGTGTGAACCTGTCAAATCACCTTGCCCTACCCATCCTCCCTCAAGCAGCTGGGGCAGCCAGAGAAGTCTAGGCCAGCCAAAGCTGCCTCTTCCTCCTGCTTGAGCCTCTGCCAATGGCTACCTGTGAAGGATAATGGAACCCTGACAGCGTCCACTAAAGCCACAGGTTGCCAGCTGAAATGTTCTAGAACCACATGAGAAAATACCACACAATGGAAAAATGAGGAACAACATTTATTGCTTCATGGACACTCTCATAAGAAGAGTGTGTAAAAAGAACCTTCCTATATCATGGGTTTTTGTACTTATCCCAGCAGGCTGAAACTGTTCGCATTGGGGGGGGGGGGGGTAGTTCTTCACCTACTCCTGAGAAATTACACTACTCTAGCTTTATTTTTTATTATCTGCTTGTGTAAAAAGCCCAAGGTCCTGAGTTCAATCCCTGGTACCAAAAAAAAAAAAAAAAAAAAAATTAAAATCTGATGGTTAACAGGCCATCTGTTCTTAGGCATATCCACCCAGTCTACTTGGACAGACAGATGTGGGCTTTAAGTCTACATTCCTGTGTGTAGCCTAGGATTAGAAATGGCACCCTAGGGCCAGGGATTTAGCTCAGTGGTTCCGCCACCTGCCTCGATAGCGGAAGGACCCGAGTTCAATCCCCAGTACCAAAAAAAAAGAAAAAAGAAAAAAAGAAAAAGAAATGGCACCCTGGCAATCTGTTGATTTTCCTGACTAGGGTTTGAAGAAGATCCTAGTTTCTGGTCAGCCAGTGAAAATATGCATAGTGCTTTTAGTGAGAGGATTAGATTGCCTCTTTAGCTAGGAGTATTGGGGTGCAGTGGGGCCAGCAGTCAACCAACAACCAGCACTCTGGCCACAGGTGGTATCTGATCAAGAAGCTACTTCTTCCATTGCCAAATCCTTTGAGGGAATTCAAGTTTCAAAATGGCACACCAAGTCATAGAAGGGAGACATCATTAAGGCAAAGGTTTCAGCATGTCCATACTCAGAGCTCTGATCTCACCATCCCCTCCCCTCACCCTTCAGGACTGCCTAGTCCTGTGCACTGCTTCTCCTCCATGAGTGTTCAGCATCCAGAAGCCTTCAGCAGCCTTCATCCTCACAAGTTTGGGGCAACCCAGTCAAGGAACTTCATAGCAACTTCAAACCCAAGGAAACAGGCCTAAAAAGAAGGAAGAGAAAAGCCAACAGAAATATGACTCCTCATAGATAACCACCCACAGCACTGTGCTTGGCTGGCCCTGTGAGGACCAGAAACCTTCCCTAAGCCCACTCCCACCCTAGATCACAGAAGCAAGCAGACTCATTCCTAATAGGAGAAAAATGGATATTCCACAGCTACCTGATTCTGATGGTCAGGTCAGGAAATCAAAGCTCCTGACCTCAGAGAACCCTCAAGGCAAATCTTTCTGGCAGCTTCAGGGAAGTGAGCAAATACAGAGGCTCTGGCTGAGAGGGGTTTTGAGAGAACTGAGCCCCAGTGCAACCCAGGAGCAAGCAAAAGCCAGCTGACCAGCACCCTGCCTGAGACAAGAAGAAAGATTATAGCCCCTGTCAGCTACTTACTGCATTGGCTGGGAAGGCTCGGATCATCACTGCATTAAACCCTTTGTACAAGGATGTGATTCCTTCATTTTGGATCAGCTCTCTCAGCACATCTCTGAAACCATTAGGATATTTTCCAGGAGGTGCTGTGGAGCAGAATCCAATTTTTAAAGCTTCAGGAAGCTTTGTGACCTGACCATGGCATCCCACATGGAACAATCTAATAGTCTTCCTATAGAGTCAGGGCCAGCACTAGGGAGAGGATACCTCACAGGTCACCTATACCTAGTCAAACATGGTGGGCTCTATAGCACATGCGCACAAATGTCTGGATTACTGGTGCCAAGGGAGTGCTCAAGAGGAATGAAGATTGAAACAGGGCAGAGAGTGTAGCTCAGTGGTACAGTGCTTGCCTACCATGCATGAGGCTCTAGGTTTGATCCTCATCCTCATCCTCATCCTCATCCTCATATACACACACACACACACACACACACACACACACACACACACACACACACACAAATGAAACAGCCTTCTGGTTATTTGGGGGAGGGAGAATGGATTTGTAGATTTGACTTCATATCTAGAGTTCCTAGAAGTTAGGCAGAAGTTTTTTCAGACAGTCTCTGGGTGCTGCTCTGGAGAGTACGTATCCCAAGGTCTTAAGAGTTCTGCACCCCTGGGGTAGCCAGTGTAAAACCCACCCTATCCACATCCACCTCACTCACCAGTCTGGAAGCGGGACTTGAGCACATCTGGAGGGATTGCCACAGCCCAGTTGAAGATCCCTGCAAATCCCCCAGCTACCAGGATTCGAGGAGCACTGAGTTCACTGACACTGCAGAACACCCAACCACAGCCCGAGTCAATCAAAGACTGACAGAAAGGTGTTCATCCCTTTTACCTCTCCTCTGGCAGACAGGGAAGTTACTGAAAGGAAGAGACTGGCTGAAGGGAAGAGGTCCAAAGGTAAGGTTTCCATGACATAGCAGCTGCTACTCCTATATCACATACTTGCCACACTGTGTGAGCACAGAGTAAAAGAGGTTAGCTGGACCTTAGCAGCCATGAGACGAAAGCATAAACAGAGAAAGAACAAGTCTGGCTTCTATATATTTTATGACCCACTCACAGGAGAGGACCACCCGCTTATGAGTGGAAAAAGTGGTTTATAAGTTATAATATTCTCACCTCTTTCCCTCTGGAGTGAAAATATTTTTCAGCCACTCGTATGTCATGAAATACATCCCACTGGCTGGAACATCTGTTAGTGTCAAGAAAGAAGTGGGGGGAAAAAGCAACGAAAGAGGTGAATTAAGTATATAAAACCTCCACAGATTTCTGTGTACTACAGAGGCAAGCCTGGCACAGGACTACTCAAGGTTTCATGAGAGTTCCTCAACAGCCACATCCAGTTTGCAATCAACACTTTGCAGCTACCAGAAGCTGCACTGGGCCAAGCACCATGACTATGAACATATACAACATTTCATCTTTAAGTCCCCTCTAGGGTTATGGGGAGAAAGGAACCCTTCTCCACTGTTGGTGGGAGTGCAGACTGGTGCAACAACTGTGGAAATTAGTGTGGAGATTTCTTAAAAAACTAAAACTAAAGGTTCCATTTGACCCAGCTATACCTTTTCTTGGTATCTTTCTGAAAGAGTTGAAAGCATCATACCACAGTGATATATGCACACCCATGTTTTTAGCAGCACAGTTTATAATAGCTATATCTTGGAAACAATCCAAATGCCCACCAACTGATGAGTGGATAAAGAAGATGTGGTTTTGTGCCAGGGATTTAGCTCAGTGGTGCTGCCACCTGCCTCACAAGCACAAGGTCCCGAGTTCGATCTCCGGTACCCCCCACCAAAAGATGTGTTTTTTTATACACTGGAGTACTACTCTGCTATAAAGAAGGATGAGCTTCAACCATTTTATAGCTAAATAGATGGATCTTGAGACCATGTTCTTAAGTGAAATAAATTGGATACACTTGTTTAAATACCACATTGTTTCTCTGGTGTGAGAAACCAAAACTGGAAAGAAATAAGTAGTGCAATGTATAATGGTTGTTGGGAAATGAGAAGAAAGTGTTCAAATGAGAAGGGGAACCAGGGAGGAGGGAGGGAAAAAGGAAGGGACAAGAAAGTGAAAATAGAAGGGAAAAATGGAAACAAAGCTTCTGTACATAGGGAGGAGAGGAGGCTTGAGGGGGTGAATGGGATAAAATAAAATTTATTAAAAAATAAAATCCCCTCCAGGTCACCACTGACAGGCCCACTCCAGGAGTTATAATCACAGCTAATGCACCTGTCTTCCTCCAAGCTGCCAACTCAGGACAAGAATGGGACTAATCTCTGCATCTCCTACTTCCATCCCAGGAAAACCTACCTCTTAAACCAGGGAGATAATCCCAGCACTTGGGAGGCTGAGCTAGGAGGATCGCCATGAGTTCAATGCTACTCTCAGCTACATAGTGAGTTCAAGGCCATCCTGAACTGCATAGCAAGACCCTGTCTCAAAAACAAACAAATAAACAAATCAAACCAGGGAGAGGGATAGCGGGTATAGCTCAATGGGAGAGCACTTGCCTTGCATGCTGAGTCTCTGGATTCCCTCCCCAGCCCTGAAGCAAACATAGGAGATCTCCACTATCCCTGAGTCACTCTTTCTTCTCACTTGTCCCTCCAGCCACAATTTCTACCTGTTAGCCAATCCTTCCAAATACCACTGTCATGAATTTCACCTCCAAGGACACTAAGGAAAGACAATAGGTCCTTCCATCCTTACTGTATCCATACTGCCTAAAACCAGGACACACACTGCCAGGCCTGTCAGAGCTGTGGCATGTACTAATACTAACCTGGCTGTCTAGGCAAGATCATCTGTGGCAGAGCCTCAGATGACCTCTCCAAGTGACCTTAGGTGGATAGAAAACCTCAAAAGTTACCTCTCATAAGGGTGAGCACAGTGCCTTTGTAGATGCCTCGGATCCCAGATTCCTGGTACAGCTTTTTTGCACAATCCAAGGTTCCATTGTACTTGGTTTCCCCTGAAGAAGCCTGAATCTGGAATGGAGAAGGTCATCAAGTCAAAGTCAATAGACCCATCAGGTTATAGGAGAATACAAAGTGAGCATGGAAATGGTCGCTATGCATTAGATCTATAAAAGGCTTCAATGTCAAGTCAATAAGTGTTTGGAATATATGATATTAGGAAAGGCACTTGAAATAGGTTAACTGGGTGTGGTAATCTTAGCACTCTGGAAGGCTAAGGCAGGAGAATAGCAAGTTAGCAAGACCTTGTCTCAATCAGAAGGATGTAGCTCAGTGCAAAGGCCCTGCATTCAATCCCCAGTATGCAAAACAAACAATATATATGTGAAACAAAATCAACAGAAAAGAGTTGGAAAATAAAGAAATCTTCCATACACAGGAGTACTTTAAAAAAAATCCAATTTGGAAGATCTAGAAGAGACAAATATTTTAGTCATTTGTTTATTCCTTCCACAAATATCTATTGAACACAAAATTCATTCCAAGCCTACATGGTGAGGAGGCTTTGTAAAGAAAAGGTGAACAGAGCTGGGTATGGTGTTGCACACTTGTAATCCAAGCTACTCAGAAAGCTGAGGCAGGAGAATCACAAGTTCAAGGCCAGCCTGGGTAACTCAGCAAAAGTCTGTCACAAGCTGAAATAAAATTTTAAAAAGCTGAGAGTGTAGCTCAGTGCTAGAGCACTTACCTAGCATATGTGAGGATCTAGGTTCAACTCACAGTTGGGGGGGGGGGGAGAGAAAAGGAAAGGAGAAGAGAGGAAAGGAGAGGAGAGGAGAGGAAAGGTAAGACAGGAAATTACATTCAGTGCTCTGAAATGCCCAAATAGAGGCCCTGTACAGAACTAGAGGATAGCCAAGGGGAGGCCCACTACCCCAGCCCTGGGGCTTCAAGGCCTAAGAGTGAAGAGCTGGAACACAGGCATCTACACTCCCAGTAAAGATCTAAAAGTGAGACAGCCCCAATCAGCGTCCACAGTGAGTATGGAGCCAAGAAGAATCAAGCAAGGACATCAGCCAAAGAGCAGTTAAAGCTAGAGGGTTCAACTTTAACAGTTCCAAGGATAAACACAAAAAATAAACATACAAGCAAAGTAGTTTTTTTTAACCTACCAGGATTAAACAGTTAAAAAATAATGGAAAAGGATCTTATTCAAAATGGCAATAATTCAAAATGGCAATGCCATATATATATATATATATATATATATATATACACATATATATATATATGTATATATATTGTATAAAGAAAACTAAAACACCTCTGAGGAACATAAAAGAGATGAATGAAAAGGAGCTCATAATTTTTGAGCAGGGAACAATAGTATACATCTGTAATAGCAGCATTCAGGAGGCTGAGGCAGGAGGATCACTGTGAGTTCAAAGCCAGCCTGGGCTACATAGGGGAGACCCTGTCTCAAAACCAAAAAAACAAGTCTTTTTTTTGGTATCGGGAATTGAACTCAGGAACTTGCGCTTGCAAGGCAGGCATGGTGCCACTGAGCTAAATACCCAGCCCTCTTTTTTTTTTTTTAGACACACTCTATGTAGTCCAGGTTGGCCTTCAACTCACTATGGGGCCCTGCAGAGTGCTAGGATTATAGACAAGTGCCACAACACCCAGCTTTTTTTTTTTTTTTGGTAAAAAAGTCATAATTTTGGGCTGGATGTGGTAGGGCGTGCCTGTAATCCCAGCACTCTGAAGGCTGAGCCAGGAGGATCACCATGAGTTCGAGGGCAACCTGCGCTACATGGTGAGTTCAGGGCCAGCCTGAATTACACAGCAAGACCCTATCTCAAAATAAAGTCATAATTTTGACTGGAGAAGTTTTCAATTTGAAAGGTGTCAATTTTTCTAATAGTAAATTTAAGATAAGGTCAATGGTTCTTTTTATATAATTTCTCCAAATCATCCAGGTGTACGTGAGCCAATATATCTGGGGAAGACCCATGTGATAGAGAATGTTGGAGTGAATCATACTGCAGAGGCATGGAGAACTGGGTATGGGAATGACATATTGATAGAAACTTCTCACTGTTATGGACAGTATAGACCAGACCATAATCAGGAAATAAGTTAGGAGGCCCTCGGAGTGATCTGGGGCAGTGATAAAAGTGACCTGAAGCAACACAGATGCAATTTGGAGGTGATAAGAAAGGAGAGATTTGAGATATATTGAATGCAAGTTTAACTGTTCAACAAATGGGATCTGTATAGTGAAAAAAATAATCTGGAAGGACTCATTGGTTTTAGCCCTGATAACTAAAAGGATGGTATTGCCACAAAGGTGTCAGGGAAGAGGAAGTATTGGGAAGGCCAATACCTCAGTTCAGTTTTGCAGATGATGACTTTGAGGCACCTATTAGTATCTAAATAGAAACATATAATAAACCACTCTGGAATTCAGGAAAAATCTAAATTGAAGATAAAGTTTGAGAATCATCAGTATACAAATAGCGTCTCAATGTCATGAAATGATAAAATTATCAAGGTAATGAATGGAACAGGATTGAGTCTTATATCCATGAACACCGAAGAGGGAGATGATGATTACTCAACAAGACAAAAAATAAGCAGCCAAGGAAAAACAGGAGAAAGTTCCTAAGTAAAGACACTCTTCAAGAGGTTGTTAGGGGTGATGTGCCTACTGATGGATCAAGGGAGATGGTGACCATGAAATGACCACTGGACTTAGGCATAAAGTCACTGGTGACCTTCACAAAAGCACTTGTGTTGGAGTTTGAGGAAAAGCTAGACTGGAGTGGGTTTAACAGAGCTATTAAAGACAGAGTAGAAAAAATAAACAATTTTCCAAAGAGTTTTGAGGTAAGGGGGAGCAAATTCCTGAAGCACAGAAAATGATGTGGGAAACAGAGTAGAAAGAAGTTGTGTGTTTTTTTTAAAGAAGATGAAAAAAAAAAGAAGATGATTTATTTGAAGGTGAGAAAAGGGGAAAAAGCTCATCCAGCTACTCTGGATGAGTAGGGAATATTTGAAAGTGAAATACTCCCAGAAGATTATATTTTTCAGACAAAAAACACAAACAAGCCAGGCATGGTGGCACATGCCTATAATCCCAGCACTTGAGAGGCTGAGGCAGGAGGATTGGTGGCAGTTCAAGGCCGCCTGAACTACATAGAAAGACCCCGTCTCCAAAAAGCAAGCAAGCAAAAAAAAAAAAAAAAAGATAATAAAGTACTAAAAACATCTCTGTAGCACAAATTTGACAATAAAAATGAAAAAATACGCAAGGACCTGAGTTCGATCCCCAGTACCAAAAAAAAAAAAAAGAAAAAAAAGAAAAAACAAATAACACAAACTGCCACAACTTACCTGATCTGAAACAAAAAATTTTAATTGCCCTATAATGATTTTAAAAATTGAATTCATAATTTAAAAATTCCTCCTAAAAAATCTCCATGCCTAGAGTGTTTCACCAAAGAATTCTATAAAATATTTATTTTTTTGTTTTTGTTTCTGTTTTTTGAGACAGGGTCTCAATATGTTGCATTCAGGCTGGTCTTGAATTTATGAACTTGCTACTATGTAGTCCAGGCTGGCCCCAAACTCATGAACCTCTTCCCTCAACCTCTCAAATGCTGGGGTTGCAGGTTTGTACCATCATTTCTGACTGATAAGTGAAAATATTAACAAATCACAATCACATAGCTGGTAAAGAATTATTAGGCAAAATATATCAAGGATTCTATCAGATTTTTTTTTTTTTGGTACTGGGGATCAAACTCAGGACCTTGTGCTTTCGAGGCAGGCGATAGCACCACTAAATCCCAACCCCCAAAATATATAAAATGTTATCAAGGACTATCAAAATGATTTTTTAAATCCAGTTAGCAAATTGGGCAAATTTATGAACAGAGATTTCATCAAAGAGGATTAAACATATAAAAAGATATTTGATATCTTTAGCTGTTAAGGAAGGAAATACAATTTTCTAAAATGAGAGCTTGTTTGGAGATTCTAGAAGGGGACCACAGCTACTCCTATACCCTTGACCAAGGAAACTGTCCTCCTCTATCTGGGGGCTGGTTGTCTTCTTTAACCCAGAGCACAGCTTTGGGAGGGATGCACACAGAACACTGAAGGAGGAAGGGGACACCCGCCTAGCCAGCCAGTTCAGCCGAATCAACCCTGGTGATCAATGGGGTGACATGTCACAGCCAGATTGTCCTCACATTTTACACTTTTCTAAAATGAAACACAAATTAAACCAGGCATGGTGGCACACACCTCTAATCCCAGCACTCTGGGAGACTGACCTAGGAGGATCAAAAGTTCAAGGCAAGTCTGAGCAATTTAGCAACTTAGTGATTCACTGTCTCAAAATGAAAACAACAGGTCAGGATTAAGCTCAGTGGCATTGCACCTGCCTCCCAAAGCCATGGTCCTAAATTCAATCCCTGGTACTGGAAAAATAAATAAATAAATAAACAAACAAACAAATAAATAAAAAGAAGGGGGACAGGGATTTAGCTCAGTGGTTCCACCGCCTAGCTTGCAAGTGGAAGGTCCGGAGTTCCATCCCTGGTACCAAAAAAACCCAAAAAACCAAAACAAAATAAATATAAGGGCTGGGAATTTAGCTCAGTGGCACCACACCTGCCTTCCAAGTGCAAGGTCCTGAGTTTGACCCCCGGTACTGGAAAATCAATCAATCAATAAATAAAACAAAAATTTAAAAAGTCTGGAATGTAGCTCAGTGTGAAGCCCCTGAGTTTGACTCTCAGTCACACATACACACACAAAGGAAATACAAGTTAAAATATTACCACACATCTATTAGATGGGGTAAAATAAAAAATATTGAGCAAAGGGGCCAGGGATTTAGCTCAGTGGTTCCAGCGCCTGCCTTACAAGCACAAGGTCCTGAGTTCAATCCCTGGTACCAAAAACAAACAAACAAACAAAAAAATATTGAACAAAGAGTGGTTGCACACACCTGTAATCCCAGCACTCAGGAGCTGAGGCAGGATTGCCATGAGTTCGAGGCTAGCCTACACTATATAGTGCATTCAAGGCCGGCCTGAACTACATAGCAAGACCCTGTCTCAAAAAAACAAACAAACAAAAAAGGCTGACGATGTAGCTCAGTGCAAAGCCCTGGGTTCAATTCCTAGTACCAAGAAAAAAAAATATTGAACACACCAAATTTTAGTGAGAATGTAGAGAAATCACTCATACATGTTTGGTGAAACTGTAAAATAGTACACAGTTAGTCTGGAAAACAATATGGTAGTTTCTTGAATACGGATATAGCCAGGCATGTTGATACATGCCTATAATTTCAGCATTCTGGGAAGCTGAGGAAGAAGAATCAAGTTTGAGCCCAATCTGGGCAACTTGCTGACTTAGCAAGACCCTGGCTCAAAATCTTATTTTATTTTATTTCCCCTGCCCCATCTCAAAAATTTTTTAAAAATTATCTGTTAAAAAGGCTGAGGCTGGGGCCGGGGATTTAGCTCAGTGGTTCCGGCGCCTGCCTCGAAAGCACAAGGTCCCAAGTTCAATCCCTGGTGCCAAAAAAAAAAGGCTGAGGCTGGGGAAGGTAACACACACCTGTAATGCCAGTACTGGGGAAGCTAAAGCAGAAGGATTGCTGAGTTCGAGGCCAGCCTGCACGACATGGCTTAGGATGTAACTCGGTGTAAAGGCCCCAGGCTCAAACTCCAGTAACCCCCCTCAATAAACCTAAGGATACAATTACTATACAACCCAGGAAGTTGTACTCCTGGGCATTTATCTCAGAGAAATAAAGACTTATTTTCTCCCAAAAATATACAAATGTTTATTCATAATAGTGCAAGACTACAAACAACGCAGATGTCCATCAGTGGACAAATGGTTAAATTGTGGGACATCCATGTGGTGCTACCACTCAAAAATAAAAATGAACTTTTTGTGTGTGGGGGGGTACCAGGGATAGAACTCGGGTCCTTGCACTTGCAGGGCAGGTGGCAGAACCACTAAGCTAAATCCCCGGTCCCAAAAATGAACTTTTTATACATTCAACAATCTAAACGGTGTGTGGTGCATGCCTGAAGTCCCAGCACTTGGGAGGCTGAGGCAGGAGGATCACTGCAAGTTCGAAGCCAGTCTGGGCTACATAATGAGTTCAAGGTCAGCCGGAACTACATAATGAAACCCTGTCTCAAAAAATGAAAAACAAAGAACAAAATTCCACAATCTGAATGAATCTCCAGAAAATTATGCTGGCAATCTGAAAAATTCACATACTGTATGATTCCATTTATTTATTTATTAATTTTGAGACAGGCTCTCACTATGTAGTTCAGACCAGACTTGAACTCACTATGTAGCCCAAACTGGCCTCAAACTTGCAATGATCCTCCTGCCTCAGCCTCTCAAGTGGTGGGATTATAGGTTATAGGTGTACATCCCCATGCCCAGCTCAATATATGATTCGATTTAAATATTCTTTTTTCCCTCTTTTGTTCTGTTTAAACTTTCTTGAAATTACAAAATTATAGGATGGAGTACATCCTAAAGCACTAGTGGAAAACCTACGGTAAGGGTGTTTTTAAGACAAAAGATGTTAATGTATGAGTTGTTTTTCTAAAGTAGTCACGTTTAATTGCAATGTTAGCACTTTGCGATAATTAAGTGGGTTTTGGGTTGCAGTTTGGGCACTTGTCTCTAAAGGGTTCATCATCAATGCCTTAAAGACACTGAGGTTTTGGTAGACAGAGGACATCTTTGGCAAAAGCTGCTTCCCTTCTACTAGCTCTGTTAAGACATAACTCACCTTTCAGAGTTCCTGAAGTAACTGCTAATAAGGATGTTTGGCTAGGACTGACACATTGCAGCTATGATATTTTTCTTGGTCTGTTACACTGTCTTAATTCTCAATTCCACTACAATTTCTTCCATGTTCCTGAAAGCCGTGGAACTGTTTGTTTTGTACACCTGACCTGAACTTTATAAAGGGTACATGGATGTAAACAAACACACAAAATTTTTGCTGAAAGGAAAAAGTTAGCTGCCTGCCATCAGATCACACTCATACCTGTAATAAGCACTTGATCCGTTCACCAGGGGTCATGATTCCTGTGGTAAACACACCAGATAACATCCCAGCAGCAAATATTTGGGGATAGCTGTATTGAAAAGAAAAGCCAGAAACAAGTACCTGTGATTATCCCCACAGACAAAAGTAATCCCAGAAAAGAGGATGGTTTTGTAAGAAAAATTAAGTACTTGAACTGGGAAGAAGCACAGCTACAAATAAATCAGATTTCACATGAAATCCTAAATTCTAGGTATATTCTGATCAAACTTCCCTGAACAAGGGTCTCAGTGTCAAGAGCAATGGAGCCTATGGCTGGGGATTTAGCTCAGTGGCACTGGGCCTGCCTCACAAGTGCAAGGTACTGAGTTCGATTCCCAGTACCACACACACACAAAAAAAGACCACTGGAGCCTAGTCACAAGGTCCAATCACATGAGGTACACATTCAGAATCCCTCACCTATGGGAGTTCCTAGTAAGACATGGTTTCCACCCCAAGCCTGTCTTGTGCAGTGACTATGGACAAGTTCCCAGACTTCCTAGAGGCTTGAACTGTGAAATGCCAGGTTGATGGGGTAGAAGGAGCCTCTAACCCAAGATCTATACACAGTAGATCATATTTCCCCTGGACCACCAAAAGCCTGAGAAGACTCTAAGCCAAGACTCAAGCAGGACAGCTCTGAGGCCAGGAAGAGTGGCTGTGGCCACCTCCACAGGCTGGGGGATGCCCAGGACAGCTGCAAGGAGTGTCCAGCTGCAAGAAAGATACTGATAGGTAGGGCCAAATAAAGGATGCTACTCAGGCAGGCATGATGAATTCTACAGCACTGTGCATGGAATGGTCCTCTGGCATGGCCAGAGGCATGGCTTCTCACTCAGGCCCCTACAGAATGAGTCACACTGAGGATGAGTCTGAGGCTTCTAGTGTCTATCACCACAGCTGTCTATGACACCTCTAGCACGGCCTTTTCCTTCTAGGATCAGCAATGGCCTAAAGGCAATTAGCACACAGTTACATCCAGCATTTTAATAGAGTCCCTACAATTTGGCAAATGCTGCTGAAAACCTTCACACTGCCCTGAGCCTCATGTTCCTACCACCTCAAGCCTCTGACAAGCTTCAGGCCAGTCCCACTCAAAAGGAGCCTAAAATATGAGGAAGAGCTGTCAACTGGCAGTGAGGGGACATCCACTGTAAATTTTTTCCTTTAGCCAGGTCACCAGTTTCAACACCCTGTTCTATGCATTCACCCCTGGCAGGACTCACACATTCACCTCAGACATACAAGTCAAGCATATAGGATAACTGTTCAACAGTCAAGAGAATTGTTTCTGCATGAACCCAGGTTCAAAGTCCCAGTTCACACTGTGATCCTCAGGAAGTTTCTGGGAGGACTCCTCTTGGAGACAGCAGAATGAACTGGGACTTTGAAGCTGAAGAAAGTCAGGCTTCTGAATGTTCAACAGTCAGCCTATATGCTTGATAACTTCTCAAGAAAATACAGTAACTTATTTCACTTTGATAGAGAAACCAACATCTGTAATCATTAAAATAATATAATCACATTATAAAAATAAAGTGCCAGACTTCCAGGAAGATGGTGGAGTGGTGAGCAGCAGAGAAAGAACTTTTTTGGGATTTGGTATCCTGACACTGGAATATAGCAGCGTGAGGCATAGAAGGAGGCAAGTGGGTCCCCAGGACCCAGGAAGGATCTGAAGGGAGAACTGAAGTCCACGGAGAGAGCCGACAGAGAGACTTCAACAAAAAAGAGAGAGGTGGTAGGCGGTACTTTGTCCCACAGCATGTACTCATGGTGTGGGAAGGGCAGGTTGAACTTTCAGACACATGGTGACTACTGGTGACCCCAGAGGCCTCCATAGAGAAAGTCACCAATGGGATAGAGCAGTGGACACAGCAGACTGCAGTGGCTGGTGAGTTATTTGGGTTCAGACATCACCTAGTAGAGGACAATTGGGCAAGTAGCCATCTTGGAGAGGGGCTGAGCTCAGAACTCAGAACTCAGAACAGCTACAGTCTGGCTCCATCTAGTGGCTCCCAGTGTTGCAGTGAGGGTGCTAAATCCAAGTCATCAGGAGGTGAGGGAGCAGGGTTCAACTGGGCAGGAGGCACATGGAATGTGGCAGACTCAACAAATCTGGTCTCAGCCTCATAGCCAGAAATCAGCCTGAACTTCAGTGGAACTAAAGGTCCAGGCTTAGGGCCTGGGATTTAGCTCAGTGGTTCTGCCACCTGCCTCAAAAGCACAAGAACCCGAGTTCAATCCCTGGTACCAAAAAAAATAAAATAAAATAAAGGTCCAGCCTTGCTGGGATTATCTACAACCCTACCATAAATTAATGGCTGGCTTCTTGGGATTAAACAACTTGATCTGGACTCTGTTTGCCCACCTTGTCTACCAGTGACAGTAGAGACACACCTTGAATTTGACTTTTTCTTTTTTTTTCCTCTTTCTTTATTTGCTTTTTTTCCTTTTTTCTGGTTTTTGTCCTTGTTCTTCTTGTTTTGTTGTTTATTCTTATTGTTATATGAATATGAACATAGTTTCTAGTTTTTTTGTTGTAGTTGTTCTGTTCTGTTCTTGTTTTTATTTCTTCCTTCACTCTTTCCCTCCTGTCTTCGTCACCAGTTTCCCAAAGTTTGTATGATCTTCCTTTGTCCTCCAGCCTTGCTTCTAAAGTCTTCTTCTATTTCTCTATTTCTTTCCTCCTTAACCTCTTCTAAATCTTCTCCTCTTAGGGTAAAATCGCCATATGGGGGCTTATTTCTTGCATACAATTTTCTAATTCACTTTAGATTTTGTTATGTAAACACAAATCTAGTTCAAACGGTTGAAGGCGGCAAATTAATAATTATCACAGGGCTAGGGATTTGTCTCAGTAGTTTTGCCGCCTGCTGCGCAAGTGAAAGGACCCGAGTTCGATCCCCAGTACCAAAAAAAAAAAAATAGTTATCACAGTTTGTCATTTTCTAGGCTGTGTTTGATACTATTGTTATTGCGGATTGTGCCACATTAGCCAAGGTGACATATTTGTGATAATGAGTTGTTCTTCCTGGTATAGCAAGACTGAGATTGCCTAAGCATTTAAAAAAATACAATAGGCCAGTGTCAAAGAACCAGATGCTGGGGCAAGTAGGCAGAAACTTCTCATCCCCAATAAATTGAAGAGGTAGGATCTTGCAAAAACCCAAAAGCCAGCTATACCTGGAAGATACTTCTGAGAAGTAGTCATTTCCTAAGAGTTCTGAATACTGGAAATAACTCTACTCATCATAAGCAATCTACAAGCATCAACCCAGGAATTAACCTAAAAAAAAAAAGAAAGAAAATGAGAAGACACTTAAGACGTTCAGCTCACCAAAGGAAAACCCAGGGGCAATGAAGTGGAACACTTCAAAAGCCACCCACCTGGACTCTCTGAAATGATAACAGTGGAAGTAACAAAGCAGGTGAATGAGGCTCTAGAAAAGTTCAAAGCAGAAATAATTTCTCAGATAACTACAGAGATGGTGACTAGAATGAAAGATATACTTAGTGACTCTAGATCAGATATACATAAAAAAAAATAGAAGAGCTCAGGAAAATGATGGAAACCATGAATGAATGGACAGCACAGGAAAAAAATGGAATCCATAAAATAGACTGAAACAGATATACAAGAGATTAAAAATTCCACTGAAAGTATATACAGCAGAATGAGTCAATGTGAGGACAGAACATCAGACATAGAAGACAGGATTGTGGTTAGCAATCATGAAAAGAAAGATTTCTTTCAAATAGCAAGGGACCATGAGAAATCAATCCAGCAACTGCTAGATGATGCAAAGAAGAATAACATAAGGTTGATTGGAGTCAATGAAAAAGCAGGAGATAGCACAAATGATAAAAAAAAAAAATCTGTTCACAGATGTAATGGCAGAAAACTTCCCAAACGGGGAAAAAACTGACATACAGATAAGGGAAGTATATAGAACTCTAATTAATCATGATAAAAAAAATTTTCCCCAGGCCAGGAATTTAGCTCAGTGGTTCTCCTGCCTGCTTCACAAGTGCAAGGTTCCAAGTTCAATCCCCAGCACCAAAACAAAACAAAACAAAAAAATCTTCTCCAATACATGTAACAGTCAAGATTCTAGAAATTCAACACAAGAACAGAATATTAAAAGCTATTAGAGAAAAGAAACAAATCACCTACAAAGGAAAGCCCATCTGAAACACAACACACCTCTCAACACAAACCCTCAAGTCAAGGAGAGCTTGGAGTGACATATTTCAAGCCCTGAAGGAAAACAACCTCCAACCCAGATTGATGTATCACACAAAACTATCTTTCAAAATTGATAGAGAAATAAGATACTTCCATAACAAAGAACACCTCAGCAAATTCATGAACACCAAATTAGCACTCCAAAGTGCTCTAAAGGATATTCTAATAAGAGATAACAAGGATTACAACTCCATGAACCTCAAAAAATGAATGCACCAGGCAAGACAAGGCAATTACACAGGAGGGAAAAAAGAGAACCAACAACAGGAAAATAACATGACAGAGATAAGTCTATCCATATGAATTATAACCATTAATGTTAATGGTCACAATTCACCAAGCAAAAGAAAAACATTGGCAGAATAGATCAAGAAGCAAGATCCAGGGCCGGGAATTTAGCTCAGTGGTGTCGCTACCTGCCTCGCAAGTGCAAGGACCTGAGTTTGATCCCCGGTACCAAAAAAAAAAAAAAAAGAAGCAAGATCCAATAATGTTCTACATACAGGAAACACATTTAATTCAAAAAGAAATTCACAGACTAAAAATCAGAGGATGGAAAACAATATTCCATCCAAAAGGAACCCAGAAAAAAGCAGGGGTAGCTATTTTATTTGAATACAAAGTGGATTTCAAGCCAAGACTGATTAAGAGAGACAAAGCAGGTCACTACATCTTTGTAGAGGGAACAATCCAAAAGGAAGAGATAGCAATCATCAATATATATATATGTACCAAAAAGCAGTGCACCCAACTATATAATACAAATATTAATGGACATGAAAAATCAAACAGGCACTAATACAATTGTAATGGGGGACCTCAGTACCCCACTATCACCAGTAAACAGATCAATTAGACAAAAATTCAACAATGATATATCAGAGTTGAACCAAACTTTTGAACAAATGTACTTCGTAGATGTCTGTGGAGTGTTCCAACCCACAAAATTAGAATTCACATGCTTCTCAGCTGCACATGGGATGTTCTCCAAAATAGACTACATACTAGTTCATAGAACATGCTTAAGTAAACGCAAAAGAATTCAAATTATCCCATGCAGAGCTAGCGTGGTGGCACATGCCTGTAATCCCAGTACTCGGAAGACTGAGTAAGGAGGACTGCTGAAAATTTGAGGCCACCCTGGGCTACAAAGTGAGTCCAGAGCCAGCATGAACTATAAAGAGTCCATGCCTAAAAAAAAAAAAAAAAACAACAAAAAAAAACATTATCCCATGCATATTATCAGACCATACTGCAATGAAACTGGAAATTAATAGCAAAAGAAACAAGAATTTCATAAACACATGGAAATTAAACAACACCCTCCTGAACAAGCAATAGGTCACAGATGAAATTAAAGAAGAAATTACAGTTTCTACAATTAAATGATAATGTCAATAAAATGTACCAGAATTTATGGGATGCAAAGAAAGCAGTTCTACAAGGGAAACTTTTTTTTCGGGTACTGGGAATCAAACTTAGGACCTTGCACTTGCAAGGCAGGTGTAGCACTGAGCTAAATCCCTGGCCCTACAAGGAAGGGTGAAATCCCATATTAGGGTGAATAATAAGGGTGAATTCCCATATTAGAAAAACAAAGCAAGTACAAATAACCCAATGTTGAACCTCAAGATTCTAGAAAAAGAAGATCAAGTCAATCCCAAAGTCTGTACAAAGGAGGAAATTATAAAGATCAGAGCAGAAATTGATGCAATGTAGACTAAGAAAACAATACAATCAATGAATTCAAGAGTTGGTTCTTTCAAAGATTAAATAAAATCGACAAATCCTTAGCCAAATTTATTAAAAAAGAAAGAAAAGACTCAAATCCATGTAATTAGGAATGAAAAGGGTGAAATCACAACAGATTGTGCAGAGATCCCTAAGATCATCAGTATTTACTTCAAGAACCTGTGTTCTATTTTTTTTTTGATACCAGGAATTGAACTCAGGACCTTGCAATTGCCAGGCAGGCATGGCACTACTGTGATAAATCCCCAGCCCTGAACATGTATTCTAATAAGATGGAAAACACAGAAGAAATGAACAGGTTCCTAGATACATATGAATTACCAAAACTGAATCAAGAAAATATAAAAATTCTAAATAAACCAATATCACTCAATGAAATTGAAGAGGTAATTAAAAACCTATGAACAACAACAAAAAAAAGCCCAGGTCCTGATGGATTCACTGCTGAATTCTACAAGAAATTTAGAGAAGACCTAATGCCACTACTTCTCAAACTCTTTAATGAAACTGAAAGGGAAACAATACTCCCAAATTCATTCCTGGAAGGAAGCATTATCCTTATACCAAAAGAAGAGAAGGATCTAACCAAAAGACAGGCCAATCTCCCTAATGATCATAGATGACAAAATCCTCAAGAAGATACTGGCAATTAGAATGCAGCAAATCATCAAGAAAGTTATACACCATGACCAAGAAGGATGCACCCCAGGGATGCAGGGATGGTTCAACATATACAAATCAATAAGTGTAATATACTATATCAACAGAGCCAAGGACAAAAATCATATGATCATCTCAAGAGATGCAGAAAAAGCATTTGACAAGCTCCAACGCCCATTCATGATAAAAACCTTAGAGAAAATTGGAATAGATGGTCTTTATCTCAATCTGATAAAAGCTATCTATGACAAACCAACAACCAACAACATACCAAAGGGATAAAAACTGAAAACTTTCACTGTAAAATCAGGAACAAGACAAGGATGTCCACTGTCACCACTCTTATTCAGTATAGTTCTGGAAACATTCGAGCAATTTGACAAGAGAAAGAAATTAAAGGAATAAGAATAGGAAAGGAATCGCTTCTCAGCCTTTTGGCTAAGATCAAGTGAAGAATAATAAAGGAAGAAGTGAAATTATCATTATTTTCAGATGACATGTTACTCTACATAGAAGACCCCAAAAGCTCCACCAACTTCTAGATTTAATAACCAAATTCAGTAGTATAGCTGGATAGAAAGGCAACACTCAAAAATCAATAGCCTTCCTGTACATAAATAACAAACTGAGAGAGAAATTAGAGAAACAAAACCTTTCACAATAGCATATAAAATAATGAAATACCTAGGAATCAATCTAACCAATGAAATAAAAGACCTTTGCATGGAAAACTACAATACTCTGAAAAAGAAGATCAAAGAGGTTATCAAAAAATGGAAAGAAATCCCTAGTTCTTGAATAGGAAGAACTGAGATAGTGAAAATAGCCATACTTCCAAACAGATTTAATGCAATCACGATCAAAATTCCAATAACATATCTCACAGAATTTGAAAAAATATCCTAAAATTCATTTGGAACTAGAAGAGACCTAGAAGAGCAAAGGCAATTCTGTGCAACAGACATAAAAGGCAGGGGGCATCACAATCCCTGCCTTAAAATTAGACTAGAAGGCTGCTGTGACACAAACAGCATTGGGCTGGGGATTCAGCTCAGTGGCGCCATTACTGTCTCGCAAGCGCAAGGTCCTGAGTTCAAACCCCAATACTGAAAAAAAACAAAACAAAACAGCATGGTACTGGCAAAAAAACAGACCCGAGGATCAGTGGAACAGATTAGAAGGTGCAGAAACTCCAGACATACTCAGCCACCCTATCTTTGACAAAGGAGCCAAACATCTTCATTGGAAGAAAGATAGCCTCTTTAATAAATGGTGCTGGAAAAACTGACTTTCCACTTACCAAAGATTGAAACTAAAGGGCCAGGGATTTAGCTCAGTGGTTCTGCCACCTGCCTTGCAAGCACAAAGACCCAAATTCGATCTTCAGTACCAAAAAAATTTTAAAAAAAACAAACTAGACCCATGTCTTTCACCATGCACTAAGCTAAAATAAAAATGGATCAAAGATCTAAATATGAAAACAGAAACACAATCTTGTGGAGGACAGTATAGATAGAACTCTCGACACTGGTGTAGGCAAAGATAGTTCCCATAGGAACTATCACAAAGAATGAACAACTGGGATCTCATCTTATTGAAAAGCTTTGCAGAGCAAGAGTAACCAGCAACAGTGTGAAGAGACAACTCACAGTGTGGGAAAAAATCTTTGCCAGCTTTCCTCAAAGTACTAATATCTAGAATATATAAGGAACTCAGAAAAATCAGACCTCCCAACTTTAAAGACCCAATCCAAAAATGGACATCTGAAATGAACAGACCCTTCTCAGATGAAGATGTAGTAACAGCAAATAAATATACAAAAATATGTTCAACATCAGTAGTCATTCAAGAGATGCAAATTAAAACAACACTGAGACGACCGGGGATTTCGCTCAGTGGTTTCGCCGCCTGCTGTGCAAGCGCAAGAACCCGAATTCGATCCCCAGTACTAAAAAAAAAAAGAAACAAACAAACACTGAGATTTCATCTCACTCCAGAAAGAATGGCTGATATCCAGAAATCAGCCAATAACAAAGGCTGAAGGGGATATGGGGAAAAAGGAACCCTTCTCTACTGGTGGTGGGAGTGTAGACTGGTGCAACTATTGTGGAAATCAGTGTGGAGATTCCTTAAAGAACTAAAACTGGAGGTTCCACTTGACCCAGCTATTCCCATTCTTGGTATCTTCCCAAAAGAATTAAAAGCATCATACCACAGAGACATATGCGCACTCATGTTTATAGCGGAACAGTTGGTAATAGCTAAATCTTGGAAATAGCACAAATGCCCATCAACCGACAAATGGATAAAGATGTTGGTATTTTATGCAATGGAGTACTACTGAGGCAGGAGGGGCATAAATTTGAGTCCATACTCCAGAACAAGACACTGTCTCAAAATAAAAAGTAAAAGAAGGGCTGGAGATGTAGTTCAGTGGAAAGGTCCTGCATTCCATCCCTATACTCTCCCATTCCCCAAACAAGTAAAACAAAAGCCAGAAACTTCTCTTAACGAGGTGACAAGAGAACAGAGCTGCTGTTGCTGTTATAGCAGTCCCAGGTATTGCCTACAGCATTTAAAACATATATGAGGACCGGGGATTTAGCTCAGTGGTTTCGCCGCTGCCCAAGCGCAAGAACCCGAGGTTGATCCCCGGTACCAAAAAAATAAAATAAAATAAAATAAAACATATGTGAGCATTCAAATCTCCAAACAACCCTGTGGGGTTGGTATTACTAATAACCCCAGTAATTGATATTACATCATAGAAGGAATTACAACAATCTGGCAAATGGGCAGGGGGCATTTTTCTTCATCTATTTTCCTTTTGCTTCACAAGACAACTCAGGTACTTTCCTCATGTGGAACTCCTAGGAGCCATTCCTGGGAAGCCCTGGGACAATCATTGCCTACTTGCCAAGGTTCTTTCCTTTAACCCATGTCATATCCCAAGCAGAGCAGCATCGAGTGCTCTAGGCCTGTGAGTACTCACCTAAGCACATCCTCTGGAGATTTCTGCTGTAGTTTCTTCCCCAGACCAAACCCAAAAAAGCACACTGCAAACATGGGGGTGACCCCAATGATAGGAGCAGCCATACCACGGTACAGCCCTGTGATGCCCTGCAAGGAATCAGAGAAGCAGGAGCTGTTTACAGACACTACTACTTTTTTTCCTTTTTTAAAAAAAAATCAGGGTCTTTCTATGCAGTTCAGGATGGCCACTATAGTATTCTGCCCAGGCTGACCTCCTCAAATTTCTGGCAATCCTCTTGCCTCAGCCTCCTGAGTACTGAGATTACAGATGTACACCACCACTCTTTATAGCATTGAAACAGGAGGCTGTGTGTCCTCTAACCTGTGGCTTCCTTTACCTCTTCCACAAGCAAGAAGAGCTTTTTTTTTTTGTATGGGAATCAAACTCGCGACCTTGGACTTTCGAGGCAGGCGGCGGAACTATTGAGCTAAACCCCCCGCCCAAAGAGAGCTTTTAAAAGGAAGAAAATGCCCTACATGTGTTCTTCTCACTGGGAAGAATGCCCAGCACCTAATACCATACCTCTCTAATAAGAGTCTTCCGGAAGCAGTCAATGGTCCCAGAGTACATGGGAGGCTGCCCAGGCAAACTTGGTGGCTGTGTCTGCAGTCGGACCTAAAGTTAAAAATAAATCACCTTCCTGAGTCAGAACTGTCTATCAAACTTATCAGGGAAATTTGCATCTCTGTACATATCTTTAGCATTCCCTTAACCAGGTATATTCAGATCTCTCTCTCTTTTTTCAGTACTAGTGGTTGAACCAAGTGGCTTCACCACTGAGCTATATTCTCTAACCCTTTTTTGAGACAGGGTCTCCCTAAGTTGCCCAAACTGCGCTTAAGCTTGCCATCTTCCTTCCTCAGCATCCCACTTAATTCCTTTTTATTGGCAAATAATGTCCTAATTTATACCACGTTTTGTATACCCATTCATCAGAGGATGGATATTTGTGGGGGGTTTTTGTTTTGTTTTTGTGGTGCTAGGGATGGAACTCAGGGCTTTTGCAATGAGTACATACCCAACCCTTTCTAAAACCCATTTTGATTTTTGAGACAGGGTCTCTCTTTATAGTTCAGGCTGGCCTTGAACTCACTATATAGGCCAGGCTAGCCTCGAACTCCCAGCGATTCTCCTGACTCAGCCTCTTGAGTGCTAGCATTACCAGCCTAAAAATTTTAATTTTGAAATGAGTCTTGCTATATCACTAAGTTGTCCAAGCTGGGCTTGAACTTGTAATCCTTCTGTTGACAGCAAAAGACTGGCATTTGTGAGTTTTTTCCATTTTTCTTTGTTGTTGTTGTTGTTGTGCTTGTTTGTTTGGGGTTGTTTGTATGTGTGTTTGTTCTGAGGCAGGGTCTCGATATGTAGTTCAGGCTGGCCTTGAACTCACTATGTAGCCCAAGCTGGCCTTAAACTCATAGCAGTCCTTCTGCCTCAGCCAAGATTAAGGCATGCCACCGAGCCTGACAGGCACCCCTGAGCTAAATCCCCAGCTTCTTTGTTTTTCATTCTTTGAAAAAAGGTCTCACTATGTTGATCAGGCTGGCCTCAAATTCCTAGGCTCAAGTTATCTTCTGTTTCAGGTTTCCAAATAGCTGGAATTAAGGGTGCATGCTACCAATGATGCTATAGAAATTTGTGTACAAGTACATATACATGTTCTAATTTTCTTAAGTATTGCACTCAATGTTCTCTAAAGAAACTGAACAAGGAGGAAATATTTTCAAGAGACTTATTAGAAAAAATTGGTTTGTGTCAGTACAGAGGTCAAGAAGTCCCAAGATCTGCAGTCAGTAAACTAGAGACTCAAGCCAGTATTTCAGTTTGAAATAAAGACAGAAAAAGACTGATGTCTCACTCAAGTAGGCAGGCAGGAGTTCCTTCTAACTCTTAGGAGTGTCAGCCTTTTGTTCTATTCCAACTTTCAACTGGTTAGATGAGGCCCACTCACATCAGGGAGGGCAATCTGCTTTACTCAGTCCAGTAAGTGAAATTTTATTTTATTTTTTGCAGTACTGGGGATTGAACCCAGTACCTTTGTACTGAGTTACACTTCCAGCCCTTTTAAAAAAATTTTATCTATTTATTTGATTTTTTTGAGATAGGGTCTCTTTATGTAGTTCAGGCTGCCCTTGAACTCACTATGTAGCCCAGGCTGCCCTCAAACATCCAGTGATCCTCCTGCCTCAGTCTCCCAAATGCAGGACTACAAGGAAGCACCACCACGCCAGGTTCCATTTTTTAATTTTTTTTTTTTTTTTTTAAATTTTTGAGACAAGGTCTCACTGATTCACCAAGATGCCTAGACAGGTCTCAAACCTGCGATCATCCATCATCTGGCCTCAGTTTCCCAGAGTGCTGGGATTACATGTGTGAGCAACCACACCCAGCTAATATTCACAAGCACTCTCACAAGCCAGGTGTGATGGCACACCTCTGTAATCCCAGCACTTTGGGAAGCTGAGGCAAGAGGATCACAGGTTCTAACCCAATCTGGGCAATTTAGGGACTTAGCCTGGAAAACTATAAGAATAAATCACTTCCTTATAAATTTTGCAGTCTGAGCAGAGCATAAACCACCCTTGTAAGCCCAGTACTCTGAAAAGCTGAGACAGGACAATCAAAAGTTTCAACCAGTCTGGTAATTTTGAGACTTAGTGACACCTTTTCTCAAAATTTAAGATCATTCATACACACACACACACACACACACACACACACATATATACACACACGTATATATGTAGAAGGGCTGGACCCAGGCATGGTGGTGCACGCCTGTGATCCCAACACTATGGATGCTGAGGCAGGAGGATAACTGTGATTGATTGATTGAGTGACTGATTTTTTGGTTCTTTGAAACAGGGTCTCGCCATGTAGTTCAGCCTGGCCTTCAACTATATAGCTCAGGCTGGTCTCGAACTCACGACAATCCTCCTCCTTCAAACCTCCCAAGTACTGGGATTAGATGGCTGTGATGTCAAGGCCAGCCTGGGCTACATAGTGAGTTCAAGGCCAGCAGGAATTACATAATGACATCTCATCTCAAAAAAAAATGCACAAAATGGACTAAAATACCTCCCCATGCCATATTGTCTAGATGGTCCTATTCTTCCAGTCAGAACTCAGCCTGCCCTTCAATGCCTGCCCTAACATCACCTTCCATAAGAGTTTTTCTAAACCCCAACTCTTGCAGTTCTTGGCTTATTACACTTGATCTTAGCCAAAAGGCCAAGAAGTGATAGTTCTTGGCTTATTAAGACATGTGGGTCACAGTCAGTTGCCTTAAATCTCTGACAGTACCTCTAGGTCAGGCCTTAATTGAAGTTCACCTAGTTCTTTGAGGCCAAAAGGACAGCACTTGGCAATTTATACTTTTGTTTTATACTAAAAAGCAACTTCCTTTCTGCCAAAATGCCAGCAAGCATTTTTAGTCACTTATAATTCAGTACAAAGGTCACTAGGTCCCTCCTAGAAGTAATATCAAGGACAAGAAGCTAAGGAGGTAGGAGAAAATATTTTTTTTGTACGGGGGTTCAAACTCAGGTCCTTGTGGTTGCAAAGCAGCCCCCCACCTTGCAACCACTCAGCTAAATCCCCAGCCTAGGAGAAAACATTCTTTTGGTGGAGGGGGCGATTCTTGAGACTGGGCCTCGCTCTGTATAGATCAGGCTGGCCTTGAACTCACTATGTAGCCCAGGCTGGCCTCAAACTCCCAGCAATCCTCCTGCCTTAGCCTCCCAAGTGCTGGGATTACAGATGTGTTCCCCAGGTCTGGCCCAGAAACATTTGTATATAAGGCACCAAATAAAAGTTTTTTTAAAAAAATTTCAGATGTCTATAACTAATAAGATTTTTGCATATATGAACCAAGGATAGGAATAGAGACCAGACAACTGACCCTAGCCAGTTCTACTTAGAATGACCCAGTGCCTTAGAAGCACTGTTTTACCATCTGTTGAATTAACATCTGATTTCTTGTGTGGTTTTTTTTTTTTGGTACTGGGGATTGAACTCAGGACCTTGCACTTGCGAGGCAGGTGCCAGAACCACTGAGCTAAATCCCCGGCCCAACATCTGATTTCTTGTTACACAATGCCCTAATCAGCCTAGATGCTTTAATCCTGATCTTCCCATACCATGACTCCAGTAGGAGCTCTACCTTAGGGGCAGCTTCTCTCTCGAAAAGCATTAAAGAACCTGTTGCTCAGGTCTGCCAAGAAAAGTTCATGAAAATATTTTCCTATGAAAAAAACTGGATCTAACATTCTAGGAGCCCTTCACATAGGCTTTCCCCCTAAAACTCACGTCTGTTGTCTACAGGCCGACTCTGGCCATGACCTGTCATTTTCCTTTCTGTATAAAAAATACAGTAAGGTTACAAAACTAGGGCGAAGTTTAAAATACAGAGTCACAGGACATAGACTTTGGTCTACAACAAGGCTGTGCTTAGTGTTCCAGGGCACTGAGGAATAATGTGTTTCCAGTAGCCTCAGTACAAACAATAGCTTCCTCATCTGGAAGTTGTGATCAGTCTGATCCTGAGTAGAGCTGATCATCTGCTTTCCTTGGAAGAGACTGAGTCACTGAGGACATCATTAGCTTCCCACGGGGTGCCTCTATGCAGCAAGCTATGTAGGCTGCCACGGGATGACAGGCTGAATGGCCAAGTACTTTATTGCACAGGACAATGTGCAAGAGATGGTAATGGTGCACTCTGGCCCCAGGTAGTGTGTCAAAGGACATCTCTAGAACAACCCTACATCTCTCATTAGTTGTCTTCCCGGGTCAGGCTTCACAGGGGATTTATTTCAGCCTTGATGATAAAATGTTAGCATTAGCTTTAGACAGCCGCTTTTTCTTTCCTATTCCCAAAGTGGCATTGGGTCTCTGCGACGGAGAGCTTTACAGAGGAGCTCTTTTTTTTTTTTTTTTTTTTTAAGGATTTCATTTATGCGATCATTGGTAGTGTTGCAAGGTGGGGCTGCCTACCTTGCTGGTGTAGGAGAGAGGAAAATTACAAAGTTAGAAAGTGGACAGTACATGAGAACAAGACCAAATTCATGAGACTTTTCAGGGGAGATTTTTTTTTTTTTTT